TTTGAACTAATCGTTCGAAACTTGAATTCGTATTTTGACCACAAATAGAAAAATCTAGCGATTTTTTTGGTCACAAATTATAATTGTAGAGGAAACGAAAAAAAAGTAGAAAAAAGCAAAAACTGGACAAAAATAAAACCGAAGATAAACGCATACAAAGAAAAAATAATAGAAAAATCAAAAGGGGAAAGAAAAAAAAGTAAGACGATACAAAGAAGATGAAGACGATAAAAAAAAATGTAGAAGAAATATATATAATGAAATACTAAAAAAAACAAAACAAATTAAACGTAAATAATTATTACAATTTCACATTTTGTTTATGCTCGCCATTTTATTTAATATATTAAGACATTGTTTCACTAAATACAAAATTTTACATATTNTAATCCATCGATTGCGTTTTAATTCAGTATATGTAATTCCGTAAAACTTAAAATATTATGTTTATTCATATTAATTTATACATGCATAAAAGTTTAAAATTAAAAAATTNTGTTAATGAAATANAAAAAGTAAACTTATTTCTTAAAAAATTTACATCCGCACACGGTGCGGGAAATCACCTAGTTGTACTGTAAATCTGTAATTTAAATTATTTTCTAACTTCAAACTCAAATAGATAGCAGTGCAATTTTTATTTTTTTTTGTTGAACCAAATATTTGTTAATGCTTTTATATTGAAGAATATGAAATCTAGTTTAGGAAAACTCAATAGACAATGTTGGTGTTGTATTTTGCGCTCCAAATACAGCCCGAAAGAGATCTATTAGTAGTAAAGTAGGTCCGCAAGACGAGGTCTAATATATAGATCCGAAGGAACAACTAGAAAAATATATCGCTAGCTGTGAGTGCGATGAAACCTGTGAAATGTAGTGATGGGCTTGTCTTAAGTCCACTACGATAAAGCCTAATATGCCCAGCTAAAAGCCTAGTTAATATACCATACGATTAGCTGAATAAAATAGTTAACGGATTTATTTGCGAGTTGCATGTTGTAGAGGAGCTCGCAGATAACAGGTGGAATCAGTCAAGCCGGAAATTTCGGAACACGTGCTGAAAATCCGGGATCGTGAGGAGAACGTGATGCGCAAATATAAGAGCGGTTGAGCCTGATTGACCACCTAAATTAACAAAAAAGAAGGATTCTTCGATGCCATGTCCGATCACAAACACTTTTACACTAGAAAATCACCTAGAACTAAATACTGTGAGCTGCGCCCTGAAATTTCAAAAATGCCACTTTTCAAGTGCCACTTTACAAAAATGTCACACTTTTGAAATCTTTACAAAAATGCCACTTTTGAAATCTTTACAAAAATGCCACTTTTTCAAATTTTTTTTTTTTATATTATTTATGTTTGGGTTAATTATGTTCTATTAGGGTTTATGGAGGTTTAGAGGTCAAAACATTTTTTAATGTTTAGAATTTTAAGATATAGGGTTTAAAAATCTATAATTAGTGGCATTTTTGCAAATAAACACTCCTAAATGGCATTTTTACAAATGTGCACATAAAAAGTGGCATTTTTACAAATTCCCATTGTTCTTATTTTTCCATCTCATAAATCCGTTGTATTAATCTTGGTTCTTTAATCATATTAATACAAATCCATCTCGTTATTCTCAATCTTCATGTATCTAAGATTCATACTAAGATTCATACGAATATCTAAGTCTTTGTTCCTCTCCGTAATATCAAATTCTTGGTTGTGAAGTTTTGGATCCACAGACAACAAAAATTATAACTTTTTTTGTTCTTTTTGGTGAATTTTAAACCTTTATTTTAGTCGTCATAATATCAACGTAAAATTAGCTTAGTAAGACAATGGACAATACTAATACGAAATATTTCATTAAGTAAACAATATTAGTCAGGATTCGAAAGACACATTACGAGAATACGATCACTGAGATACGTCTTTATGTTTGCATCAACACATACACTTAAAATTACAGTGTCTCTAATGATAATAATATTAATATAAGTCAACGGCATTCAAGTAAAGAAACGAGGCAGATATTTCATGGTCTGGTCTAGTGAAGCAAATCATAACCGTTGTTACTGAAAACAAGCTTAACAACATTCTTCCCTCTAAGTTTATCCCAATATTTGCGAAACTCAGCTCCAAACTGGGCAATCTGTATATACTCGTCTTTCCCATTCTGCAAAAATACATCAAAGGTCAGAATACAATTTGAGTTCTGGTTTTCAAGAAACACCAATTCTTGTATACTAGTAAAAAAACGACTTTTTTTTTACCTCTTGCACGCGTTTGTAGACGATGATTGGCTGTTTATATAGCTTGGAAAGAACCTGTTGGAAAGCAAAAAAGAACTTCACTTTTTAAAGATTTGTTTCTCTATGGTGGGAGATTTTTGAGTTTACAATGTCTGAGAGAGAACTCACTAGTAGCTCGGATCTCCCTCCCAATAAATCGTGTCCTACAATCCGCTCGCAATAGCTGAAAGAAAAAAAGATGTTTATGTGATTAGAGAAACAAAGTGATTTAGCTGGAAAAGAAATTGGAAGAGAGTGATGGATTCTTAAGACTCACTCTTCCAATGTGATAGACAATAAAGCTTCTTCGTACATCTTCTTTTCATTGCATATAGCCTCTTTCACAGCGTTTTGTAATTCGTCTGTGGAAGAAATGTAAGTTTTTGCCACACAGAAACAATAAACACTCAAACGGACAGACCAGTAAAGACACAAAACATTTCCGAAGAAAACGATTTACCAGCACAAACTTAGAAGAAAAAAAACTCCCCCAAACACAGCAAGCTTAAAATTATTCAATCTCTTGACTCATGATTTTCAAGAACACTCGATAAACATCAAGATAAGGTGGTGATCCGACTTATATAGGGTCAAATCAAATCCGTTCTAAGAAGAAAGATCTGAAAAATCAATTCCTAATAGTAGCATACCAAATCCCATCAATGGGAACTAACATTTTCGAGAAAAACGAGACATCTAAGTCATACAGGTTACCTGCTGAGGGTTTCTCATGCTTAGGGTCACCAGCCATACCTTTCGCCTAATTTACATAGAAAAATTACACAATTTCTTCACAAACAAAAAAAAAAAAAACCCAAACAAGAGCAGAATCTACAATACCAGTGCTTGAAATAAACTCCGACTATCCTTAGTGTAGGACTCATTCGCCGGATACCGATCACTAGAGATTGAATATTATAGGAACAGTAAAGATTCAAAAAGTAGAAAAAAATAATAATTATAATAATCGCAGATTAGGATTTGAATTTATGGATTAAGTGCTGAGAAAATGGAAAATCCACCCGTAGGAGAAGTTGGCGAAGAACAGATAGCTATTGCCCTGCGTGGCGCTTAAAGAAGTGGAGGAGAATAAATCTGAGACAGAACAAGTAGAAGTGGAAACAAGCTCGAACCTAGCGAAACCATGTCTTAGCTGCTCGAGAATTTTACCTGCGACATTGAAAACATTGAATGATGTATGTATATTGTTCGGATCTGTAAGGAGAACAATGTGCAGAGAAATGAAGTATTACTGTTGGTAAGTTTGAGCTCCTCCATGGAATGAATCTCTCGAAGAAACGATGGAAGAACCTGCCGACAAAAAATAAACGAAGAAGATAAGACAGTTTAGCAATGAAAGTTTAACGGTTATCTAATATAATAGTTCGAATGTTTAGCAACATTCCGTTGTAGTCTAGCTGGTTAGGATACTCGGCTCTCACCCGAGAGACCCGGGTTCGAGTCCCGGCAACGGAGATTTTTTTGTCAATTTATAGAAGTTTATATAATCCATTTTTTTTTTCCCATGAGCCAAAAGAATTCCAAACTTTCTCATGATGATATCAAAAAAGTTCAACGGTATTCAAGTAAAGAAATGAGGCAAAAAATAATTTTGGTTTAGCGAAGCAAATCATAATGGTTTCTACCACTGTAAACAAGCCTAACTACATTCTTGTTTGTCTTCCCTTTTCCCCAGCCTCTGCGAAACTCGGCTCCATACTCTGCTATCGGTATAAAACCCGACCCAAACCCTCCTTTCCCATGCTGGAAAATACCGATATCAAATGAATCAAGATCCGAATACAATGATACGCCGATTCTTGTCTGTTTAAGACTCAAAATCAAAGGACTTTTTACCTCGTGCTCTGGTATGTAGACGATGATTGGCTGTTTACATAGCTTGGAAAGAACCTGTTGAATGCAAAACACTTGTTTTTTAGATTGTTTCTCTATGATGGGCAATTTTGAGTTTACACAATGTAGGAGAACTCACTAGTAGCTCGGACTCTCCTCCCCAGAAATCGTGTCTTCCAATCCGCTGACAATAGCTGAAACGAAAAACGGTTTATGTTGGTCAAAGAAACAGTCATTTAGCTGAAAAAATGGGAAAGGAGTGATGAACTAGTTCTTATGACTCACCGTTTGAGAGACTCATCCACTGTGATAGCTATTAAAGCTTCTTTGTACTTCTCCCTTTCTTTCGGGTCATTGCATATAACCTCTTTCACCGCCATCCGTAACTCATCTGTTCGAAGAAATACAAGTTTTTGCCACACAAAAAACGAGAGAGAAACGTTCAAACGGATGGAAGTTTCTCAACTACTCATCAATCAATAGGCAAGATAACCCACAAAACATTGTCACTGATAACAATTTCCCACTAAAACCAAAGACTTTGCCACAATGAACATTCAAACGGATGAAGTTTCTCGAGCAGAGAACCAACAAGACATTTTCAACATTAAGAGACTAGAGAAACTCAATTTCTGAATCCCAAACTCTCAACATTAATCTCTTGATTTTCCAAAACAACATTCGATAAACATCAAAATATGGTGATTAAACGATGAAATATAGTCGTGACCTGCATCATCTCTCTCTTTCCGGGGGTTAAGAGCAAGACCCTTGTTAAATGCCATTCCTTTCACCTAATTTCACATTGAAGCAATTACATCATTTCTTCAAACAGACCCAAACAAGAACATAAAACAAGAGCAGAATCTACAATACCAATGCTCGAAATAGACACCGACCATCCCCAGTAACTCTATCAACAGCGTACTGCTCAACCTTTTTCGCTGCCGGAGATCGATTCCTGGAGTTTGAGTATACTCAAAATTTAAAGATTCGCAGATTAGGGTATTAACAAATACTCGATTTGATTCAATGGATTAAAACCCACATCGAAGAACCGATTTTGGCGAAGAATACATAGCTATTTCCTTGCGTTGCGGTTAAGAACGAAGCGGGTAGTGAAGTGGAGGAGATTGAATCTGAAATTGAAGAAGTAGGAGTCGAAACAAGCTCGAACCGAGCAAACCCATGTCTCAACTGCTCAAGAATTTCACCTGCAACACAGAAAAAGAAAATGTTGATATTAAACGAGAACAAAACAAACAAAAAGTGGAGAAAAATGAAGTATTTTTACTGTTGGAAGGTTTAATAAGCTCCATGGAATCTCTTTGCTCGGGAGATAAGAGGAAAATTCGAATTCTGAGACTC